ATGAAAATTCTTAAGAAACCCAATGGTGTTTGAAGATTTCGGCGTGCGCGCGCGAAGAAAAAACGAATGTGTCCCATATGGTATTATTTGACAGGGATGATGGCCCTGGCATGCGCGCAACCGTTGTTGCAGAAGTTCGAAACACGTGAAAAAGTTGCTCGCAAGAGCCCGTTTGACAGAAATGTTGAAAAAATATTGGGTTTCCTCAGAAATCCGCAAGAGCGCGCAAGATGAATTTTTGAAACTTTTTTTTGAAAAACCATTGGGTTTTCATGTTTTTATGTTAAAATCGCTACGAAAACTAAGGTTTTGGAAGGATTTCATCTTGCGCGCGCGAGTGTGCACTTCGTGTCATTTGTTCAAAGGATTCTTGAAGTTTGGTTATGTTAGAACAAGAAATTTCATGTTATAGTGTTTTTTGCAAGGGAAAGCGGGCGTCAACAAAACAACCGGATCTGGATGACATCGTTTTACCTGAGACTTCCTCACGAAAATAATGAAAATGTGGCTGCGGCCTAGGCGCGGGGGGGGGGGCGTGCACCAGGGGGCCCAACAATAATTATTCTTTAGAATTAATAATGTTCAACAACAACAACAACAAACACAATTACTAGCACGTGGGGACACACCGTTTTCACCAGTGCCAGGGTTTTCATAGGAGGCGGGCAATACCCCCACTTTGTGGGGGGGCCGGTTCAAGCTCTACCAAATTTCCAAACGACTCTTCGCCACCACCCACACCCAGCTTCCCGCCCTATGACGTTCGGACACTTCATTTCGTGGCATGTGGACGACCGTGGCTACTATTCAGGGCCCCGCGGCCGACGACGACGGCGTGCGCGCGCGAAGAAAAAACGAATGTGTCCCGCATGGCATTATTTGACAGGGATGATGGCCCTGGCAGGTGCGCAACCGTTGTTGCAGAAGTTCGAAAAAGTCGCTCGGAAAAGCCCGTTTGACAGAAATGATTAAAACAGTGTTGGTTTTCCTACGAATCCGCAAGAGCGCGCGGGATGAAATGTTGACATTTTTTTTTGAAAAACCATTTGTTTGTTGATGTTTTTATGTTGAATAATAGAAAAACAGACAAAAAGATACTAAAATAGAAAAAAAAAAAAAAAAAAAAGCAAAAAAAAAAAGAAAAAGAAGAAAAAACGGAAAAAAAAAAGAAAAAGCGGGGGGGGGGGGGGGGGGAGAGGGGTAAAAAAAAAAATTAATCGCTACGAACACTAAGGTTTTTGGAAGAATTTCGTCTTGAGCGCGCGAATGTCCACTTTACCTTATTTTTTTGCAAGGGATTCTTGAAGTTTGGTTATGTTAGAACAAGAAATGTCCACTTTAGCTTATTTTTTGCAAGGGAAAACGGGGGACAACAAAACAACCGGATCCGGACACCCACGTTTTGCTTGGGACTTCCTCACGAAAATGATGAAAATGTGGCTGCGACCTAGGCGCGGCGAGGGGGCCGCGCACCAGGGGCCCCAACAATAATTATTCTTTAAAATAAATAATGTTCAACAGCAACAGCAACAGCAACAACAACAATAACAACAGCAACAACAACAACAACAACGACAACAAACAACAAACAACAAACAACAAACAACAAGCAACAAACAAAAAACAAAACAACAACAAACAAACAACAAACAACAAACAACAAACAACACACAACAAACAACAAACAACAACAACAACAACAACAACAACAACAACAACAACAGCAACAGCACCAACAGCAACAACAGCAACAACAACAACGAAAATCCGCACCGCGGAATTCCACTTCAGCCACGCACCCAGGGGCAGTGAATGACCGTTCGGCCCCCTCACGCTGACTTAGTCACTAAGTTTCAGAGACTACCTTTACACTATCTTATTTTGTATGCACTACTCCGCGACTATGTTTTCATTGTGTTTTTGCTATGCCGCGACAGTGCCCGGGACTACCTGGAGACGAGTGGAACACTGCTTAGGGACTTTGGGTTTGTAGGTGAAGATAAGTCACAAGGCGAGAGGGGGAGTAGGGGGAAGAGGAGTATAGGACATGAGGAGCAACAGGGACAGGCAGGAATCAGACTCCACCTCGAATCTCCTTGGCTCCGATTTTTCGAGCAGCTAGTCCCCGAAGGTCTCGACCCCCAGAATTTTGGAGATTCGAAGAGTTTGCACCAGATGCTTTTTGCTACTCGTGACGTTCATGGGCCGTTTCTGGGTCTCGGGGCCATCTCAAGACCACGACGGATGACAATCCAGTCCTTGGGAAGGGCCGAGGGCTCGGGGGGGCGGCGACTCGACAAAGATCACATGTTGTTTGGACTCAACATGGTATTTCTTGGGCCAGCGTTTCAGCCTAAGTAAATGGGGTTCTCGTTATATTTCCGACCGCGCCGAGCACGAACGCACGCACCCACGCCCACCTCGTCGTCGTCGTCGTCGTCCTCCTCCTCCTCCTCCTCCAATGCAGGCGTGTCCCCCCTCCACCTCGATCGTGCGCTTGAAGAGGGTGGCTGCCTGGGCCCCGATCGCCATCCCCGTGTTGAAGCACAGGATGATCAGGCAGCGCGCTGATTTTATTGTGTCGATTTTCGCGAGGGCCGAAGTTCCCCACTCTCAGAATCCCATGCGATAAGGCTCATTCAGCTGACTCAGGTGGATTCCATGGGCTCGTCTTGTCTCGTCTTCTCCTCCCCCTCCTCCTCGCCCACCTCCTCCTCCTCCTCCTCCTCCTCCTCCTCCTCCTCTTCCTCCTCCTCCTCACTACTCAGTGTCTTTCAGAGTCACACTCAGCGTCATTACTCAGGGTATGATTGGATGATGGTGACGATGATGCTGTCGATGCTGATGGAGCTGATGGTGCCGATGATATGATGATGACGACGATGATAATGATGCTGATGCTGCTGCTGATGATACTGGCGATGTTGATGTAGATGTTGATTTTGATGTTGATGCTGATGACGACGATGATGCTGCTGCTGATGATGATGATGATGCTGATGATGGCGACGATGATGATGATGCTGCTGCTGTTGATGCTGCTGATGCTGCTGATGATAATGATGATGAGAATCATGATGATGATGATTATGATGACGATGATGATGATGATGATGATGATGCTGATGCTGATGCTGATGCTGATGCTGATGATGATGATGATGATGATGATGATGATGATGATGATGATGATGATGACGACGGAGCAGATGTCGAGGGTGTCTCAGGCGAGGCGTTGGTTTCAGCACCCCCACGGGGGGGGGCCGCCTGGGGATGTCTAACTCCTCCGTTCGCGCCCAGATTGCGTGGTTGTCTCGAGCGGTGTTCTTGGTTGCATGCCCAACATCCCCCGCTTTCGCAGCAGATTTGAGCAGGTCTCGAGCGAGGCGCTTGTGTTCCCACACCCATGGGAGGGGCGCCAGGGGGTATCTCACTCCTCCGTTCGCACCCAGATTGGGGGGATGCCTCGAACGGTTTGCCCGTTTACCAACCCCACATCTTTTGCGTTCGGAGCAGAGTTTGAGGATGTCTTGGGCGAGGCGCTGGTTTTCGCACCCGATGGGCCCCAGGCTGCGAGGATGTCTCTAGCGGTGTGCTTGTTTTAGTGACCAGACTCGTCTGCGTTCAGGTCGAATCTCTGGTGGTTTACGTCTGTCCCTTATGATCGCCCTCCCCTGTCGGTCCAATCCTTGGTGCTTTACCTGTTCCTATAGATTGGGCTTCTATTGGGGCACAAATCCTCGGTGTGTTACGTATATTACTATACATTGCCCCTCTCCTCGGGCACGATTCTTACCCAGGAGGCCCCAGGAGGCTCCAGGAGGCACTGGGAGGCACCAGGATGCATCAGGAGGCCCCAGGAAGCCCCAGGAGGCCCCAAGAGGTTCCATGAGGCCCCAGGACGCCCCTGGAGGCCCCGGGGGGGCCCCATGAGGCCTCACGAGGGCCGAGGAGGCTGCCGGAGGCTCCAAGAAGCTCCAGGAAGCCCCAGGAGGCCACAGGAGTGGCTCCAATCTTATGTGACTTACGTATGGTTTGCCCTTCTCCTGTGGCCTCAATCCTGTGTTTCCCTTATGCTCCTATGGAGTGGGCCTCTCCTGGGGCACGAATCCTCTCTGTGTTTTACGTATGTTCCTGTACATTGCCCCTCTCCTAAGTCTTTCACGATTGTTCCTTTAGATCGGGCCTCTCCTCCCCGTGGCGTGGCTGGCTGTATCACGGTCCAGCGATTGCGTGAGATCTTTTAAACCAGCGAACGAAGCGCAAGGGTTTCGCACGGCGTTTGCATGAGTACCCTTCTTCCTTGCTTCGCCATGGACGGAGGGATCGCGTAGCCATTTCGACTCAGCCACGCCCAGTCATGAACAGGCTACTGACGTGCAGATACACCCATCATAAGCTTAGACATATTCATATTCGTGCACGTAGACCCACTCTTAATACTGAGACTCTTTCACACTCCAGATCATGCACTGGTAGATTGACTCTTAGTCTGTCAATACTCCAGCCCGTTGATATGCCAAAATTCTTGCGCCGAGACACTCACGGCGGAAGAGGCCCATGCAAATAGATGCCCGTATGGGGACTTCTACGCAGTGAATATTTATTCTGGGATGTCCCTGGGCCCCGAACGGGTCCCCGAGCCGTTTCTTTCGCAGGATGAAGGGCCTGAACGCAACCCGAAGCGCTCAATGGCAGGACATGGCTTTCCGGCAAGGCTGTCCCGATAGGTTCACCGGCGGTCCCTTCTGGAGGCCTCCAGCAGTTTGAGGCCTGAAGAGATCCATCCCATGCAACAGCAGAATAACCTCCCTGGAAGGTCTCGACCCCTTCCTCGAGGCCTTCTTGTCCCTGCGCCCAGAGGTCCTGTATGAGTCAAGACCAGCCGCCCCGATCCCCGATGTGTTCGAGCTGCCAAACCTGGGAACGACGTCCAAAACCTCGATCCACGATCCCGATCATCGATCCGACGACGACGACGACGACGAAGACCCACCGAGGCGGCAGCCCGGAGAGCCTGGCGGCGAACGCGCGGCAGGCTGCGCTGAGGAAGCTTGCCGGCATGCTCCAACGCTACTGCCGCGAGAGGAGCGCCTCCGCCCGCCGTCTCTCGGAGGAGGGTGCCTATGCAGATCCACTTCGTTCCTACCCTCCTGCAGGAAGAGGGACAATCATCAGATGAGGAAAGGAGTGGGAGGGAGGAGGAGGTGGATCTGTTCTGTACTACTGTCAGGTTCCTACTTTCCCCAGGCCCTTCGCCAGAGTGACCTTAAGCGCGGCTTTCGGGTGGCGCTGGGTAGGGAGGGAGGGGCACACCAAAGCACGCAGGCCGCGCCTGTCGCATCGCAGTCACCGATCGGCGAGCCGCGTACCAAAAGTCACTCTTGCCTAGGGTTTCCTTTGCGTGTACTAGGTCCGGCCCGGAAATCCCGTGGCGCGAAACAATTTTGGGACGGTGGATTTTTCACACATTGTGCCACCTGGAGGCCAGTTTCGGCCCCATGACCGCCAGCAACCATCCTGGCAAAGGACCCAGCCATGTGCAGCGCGCGGCGCTAAGGCGGGAGCCACATTTTGAAAACGGACTGCCCTCAATGCGTGAAGCTTTTGCAATGTGTTAGCACGATTGTGTGCGGCGCTAAAGCGAACGCCACATTTTGAAAACGACCCGCCCGCAATGCGCCACGCTTTTGCAAATTTTGTCCGCAGTGCCACAGCGAAAACCACATGTTGAAAACCACCCGCCCTCCATCTGTGAAACTGTTGCCGATATTTAAGCTTCAGGGTCGTAAATGGTGAGGAAGTCTCAGGCGAAACGCCCAGCCCGCCCTTTCAACCGGCCTCGGGGTGCGACAGGGATAAGTTCTTTGTGAGGAGAAGGAATGGGGGAGGAGGAGCCGAGCCGAGCCGGGGAGGAGGAGAAGGAGCAGGAGGAGCAGCAGGTGAAGCATGGCAGGAGGAACAGGAGGAACATAACAAAAGCAATGGGAGGAGGAGGAGCAGCAGCAGCAGCAACAACAGCAGCAGCTGCAGCAGGAACAGGACATCGAGAACGATAAGGATGACGATGAGCGTGAGGAGACGGCGCAACCAGTAGAAGGAGGCCTTTCAAATCCTGGTTCCCCCCCTTTTCCTTCCAGGGACGTCATTTTTCTTCCTTCTCCTCCACCTCTCGTTATCCCCATGCCTATCCCCCTGCCCTTTTCTGTGTGTGAAGTCCGCTCACTTCCCTATTCTATCCCGTTATCCGCAACTGTATTGGGTCAGGTATTGGCAATACAGCAACAGCGTACTGCTCTCTGTGCAGTGCCGTTGAAAAGGAGTCCTATTCCTCGCCTCTACCAACGGATCCCGTATAGGAACAGCCCCATCGGCCGCTTCCCTATACACATAGGTGATCAGCCTTTTCTTATCCGCTCCTTGATGTTGCAATTCGCGTCATCTTGGATTCCGCCGCTTGGCGGCGCAACTCCGTCGCGCTGCCTGCAAGCGTGCGGTTTCCTCGACGGCGCGCTCTCGCGACGGCACCATGGAGAGGGCACGAGAAACTGTGATACCGATTTCCCCCCTTTTCAGGTGAAGGCAGTGCTGCGCCTTTCGCGGCTGCATTCGGCGAACTCTTACCCGATTATCCGATGTTTCCGCCGCCCCCGCGAGCTCGCATGCCTCGACCATCGCGACAACGGCTGTATTCGCCCCCCGCAACGCCTGATTCATCCATGCCACGCCCGTCGGTGGCAACGACCGCAATTGTCCCGTCTGTCGTCGGAACCGACGCTGGCTTCACTGCGCCTATTGCATCCCCACCCACCTTCGCTGACACGAGCGTCGGCGGCACCGCCCGCAGCGGCCATCGCGCCGCGAACGTGTTCCCAGACATCGCTTTCGCGCGCAACCGCCGCTGGGACAAGGCCTCGTCGCCCACAAATGTATCCGTCTTTGAACATGTGCGGGTCATAGAGGATCGCATTTGGACGGACGTCTCAGCGACAGGTTCCCGAAAAAGGTATCACATCCGTTCTCTTACTCGAGATGCCAGCCGCCCCCCTTTTCAACGATGCTCCCAGCACGGCTAAAGCGAACGCCACATTTTGAAAACGACTCGCCCTCAATGCGCCACGCTTTTGCAAATTTTGTCCGCGGCGCCAAAGCGAAAACCACATTTTGAAAACCACCCGCCCTTCATCTGTGAAACTGTGGCCGGTGTTTAAGCTTCAGGGTCGTAAGTGGTGAGGAAGTCTCAGGCGAAAACTGTGGCCGGTGTTTAAGCTTCAGGGTCGTAAGTGGTGAGGAAGTCTCAGGCGAAACACCGAGCCCGCCCTTTCAACAGGCCTCGGGGTGCGACAGGGAGAAGTTCTTTATGAGGAGAAGGAATGGGGGAGGAGGAGGAGCCGAACCGAACCGAACCGGGGAGGGGGAGAAGGAGGAGGACGACGAGGAGGAGCAGGTGGAACGCGGCAGGAGGAACAGGAGGAACATACCAAACACAATGGGAGGAGGAGGAGGAGGAGGAGGAGGAGGAGGAGGAGGAGGAGGAAGAGGAGGAGGAGGAAAAAGCAACAACAACAGCAGCAGCTGCAGCAGGAACAGGACATCGATAACGATAAGGATGGCGATGGGCGTGAGGGGACGGCGCAACCAGTAGCAAGATGGGAAGGAGGCATTTCAAATCCTGGTTCCCCCCCTTTTCCTTCCAGGGACGTCATTTTTCTTCCTTCTCCTCCACCTCTCATTATCCCCCTGCCCATTTCTGTGCGTGACGTCCGCTCACTTCCCTATTCTATCCCGTTATCCGCAACTGTATTGGGTCAGGTACTGGCAAGACAACAACAGCGCACTGTTCACTGTGCAGTGCCGTTGAAAAGGAGTCCTATTCCTCGCCTCTACCAACGGAGCCCGTATAGGAACGGCCCCTTCGGCCGCCCCCTTATACACACAGGTTATCAGTTTTTTCGTATCCGCCTTTTGTTGTTGAAATTCGCGTCATCTTGGATTCCGCCGCTTGGCGGCGCAACTCCGTTGCGCTGCCTGGAAGCGCGCGGTCTCCTCGACGGCGCGCTCTCGCGACGGCACCATGGAGAGGGCACGAGAAATTGTGATACCGATTTCCCCCCTTTTCAGGTGAAAGCAGTGCTGCGCTTTTCGCGGCTGCACTCCGCGAGCTCTTACCCGATTATCCGATATTTCCGCCGCCCCCGCGAGCTCGCACGCCTCGACCATCGCGACAACGGCTGTATTCGCCTCCCGCAGCGCCTGATTCATCCATGCCGCGCCCGTCGGTGGCAACAACCGCAATTGTCCCGTCTGTCGTCGGAACCGACGCTGGCTTCACTACGCCTACTGCCTCCCCACCCACTTTCGCTGACACGAGCGCCGGCGGCACCGCCCGCAGCGGCCATCGCGCCGCGAACGTGTCCCCAGACATCGCTTTCGCGCGCGGCCGCCGCTGGGCCAAGGCCCCGTCGCCCACAAATGTCCCCGTCTCTGAACATGTACGGGTCATAGAGAATCGCACAGGACGGACGTTTCAGCAACAGGTTCCCCCAAAAAGGTATCACATCCGTTCTCCTACTCGAGATGCCAGCCGCAGCCCCTCTCCGCGATGCTCCCGGCACGGCTCTGAGCAACGCAACCTTGTCGCGTAGTTTTCTCCCGTTGCCTCTGATTTGGCAGAGCTCCGAGACCAGGTTGAAACATGCACGACCCAACAATTATCGGGTTTGGCCGCTCAGGCGGCCACCGTCAGACAGGAGCTGCAATATGCTCTTGCCTTGGTCGGCGCCAGGATCGCTGAGGATCGATCGATCATCGTTCAGGTACAGTTCCAGGTCGACCATATGGAGTCACACCGAGGTGCCGACTCCAGAACGATCCAGGCGCTTCACGACTACCTCGTACGGATGGAGGCACAATTCGTGACCGTCAGGGATACAGGGACTGCTGCTGTCAGGACACTACACGATGAGCTCCTGATGGTACGACAGACCCCACCTATGGAGGTACATGGTCCCACGGTCCCTCATTTACGTGAGGATTTGATTACACCTCGCACTCAGGTCGACAAGCATGCTGCCACCATACACTCCACCCGCACCACCCTCACGTCCGAGTTAGATGGTAAGCTGCGCGGTGCCAGGATGGCCATCATTCACCGTCTTGAAGCTTTCGAAGGACGCGTGCCACCGCTCGAGAACCGAGTCTCCCAGGTCGAACGCAGATCCCCGAACTACGGACTGCACTGGCTGAGTTGCGTGTTGCACGGACCCAGACTGATCAGCTGGGCACCCCAACTTCGGTTTACGATTTCGCCCCCCTCGAAGCCAATATGGCCGAGGTTCAGCAGGCGGCGGACCATGCGCAAGCACGACTCACCCAGATATCCTGGAAAGAGACGTTGACATGAGAAAAAAAAACGGCCGGCTCAATCCTAGCCCGTTTGGAACAAGAGCGCGAGGCACAAAACCAGCGATTCCAAGACCTTGAGCGCAGGCAGGACAGGTACCCCCAGCGGACCCACGATACCAGCGCCGAGCCACGTGGTCTTCATCAGAGCGCCCAACAAATGCAGCGCAGCGTCGCGACCAACGAAGCTACACTGACCTCACATCAGAAACACTGAGCTCCACCAGCCACCTCCAGACCGTCGACCAGCTGCCACGCATGCCGATGGTGACATCCGCACAGGCCATATGAGACGCACATCGCCAGGCGCCGCCTCAGCCGCGGCCACTTCGCAGACACGTCGCGTTTCTCTTGTGCGACCCCCTTCTCCAACGCAACCGGTTCCTTCACAGACGTTGTCACGCGTCTCTGCTACCACCGCAACTCCAATCAAGGAGTTCGACACCGTGCGCGTACCACAGCTGCCGCGCACTACACAATTACAGGAGTTGCAACATATGGTGCGCGACAACTATGGCAGCGCATCTGGGCGCCCTGCCCAGACATATGACAACTAGGTCCTTACATTCCGGCGCGCCGCAGGACGACCCACGACGACCTACGAGGATCTCCAAGACAGCGGCGACTCCGAAAGTACCGACTGCAAACTAACAGCCGGACTCACTGCTGTTCTGAGTTCTGAGCTGCGCTACCGCATGAAGAACCTTACAGCCCAGGGGCAGAAAGCCGGTCGCATGCTCAAAGGCACACAATTCTACATGACGATATTGCAGTCCTACAAGGTCACCGCAGCCGACGACGCCCTGCGCGACTTTGAACGTCCACAACTACTACGCATGCGCGACGACGACCTCCAACCATTCATTGTGAACTGGGACAACTTACTAGTGGAATGCCGCGGTCTTCGTCGTCCTTGCGGGGCCAGCGCGTTCTTCTCCCCGAACTCCGCATGCAAGGTGCAGACCGTAGCCCCCCGCTCCTCCGCTGAGTCGGAGATCGCGGCGCTGGACGCAGCCCTGCGAGCAGGGAGTCTGCCTCTGTTATCGCGCAGGGAAGCGGCGGCGCGCACCGCGCGCGGCGACGCGTCGCTGGCGGCCACGAAGGGGCGTCACAAACCACCCACGCGGCGGGCATCGCCCGCGCGCGCCCCTTCCCCCCGTGCGCGGTCTTCAACGCAGACTCCACTTGCGCCCCCGCCATCTACCACCAATAACATAGTGTATGATGACATCGCACAACATGCGTCTCGGTCTCCTCGCACCGCTGCGCCGCCACCCGTCGCCAACCGTGCTGAGGCAGAGGACAGCGAGGCCGTTGCTACGATAAACCGCAAGCTGGCTTAACCGTTACCATATTCATCGTACACATCGTACCAGTTTGGATTGGATTGCAGAAGCATGCCAACATAAACATATCAACTTAAAATCTGCGGGGGCAAAGAACAGGCTGCCGATATGACGACAAAACAGTTTGAGCCTGAGAAATTCCACTCTGTGCAGGATTCACTCGAGTTGCCCCTCATTGTTCCCGCCGCTGCGAAGACCGCCGAAACGCTGGAGGTCGCCGAGATCGCCCCTTCCACCAAGGGTCCTCTGGCCACCAGTATCCTTACCGTCGCAGTCATTCGCGCGCGTGCGTTTGTTGTTCTTTGCGTGCGCGCTTCATCTCCATGCCGCTGCAATTGGCAGCTTTCAACGCGCCCGCGCTCACCTCCTCCCCCCGCCCCCTCTGAGAACAGAGGTAACCCTGCCCGCGCCCGTCGGCCAACGATGACGACGCCTGCGATCAAGCTTCGCGGCATGCAGGTTGGAGGTCTCGCTCCAGCGTCCGCCGATGGAGCGGGGATGAGCTGCAACTCTGCGACAGCGAGCCGCCCGGATGGGAGCGGATCTCACTGGCTCCGCGCCAGTAAGCAGGGCATAATCATTTCGGCATCCCGAGCGGCATGCGAGAGTGGGAACGCGCTCGCCGGAGATGGACCTCCGAGCCCTGCCCGTGCCGCGGCCGCTCCGTGGATAGCGTTATCCTTCGTCTGGGTTTATGTCTTGGGTCTTTGCCTGGAAGATCCATGGGTCGATTCTACGACCCGTCAGCACCCTGGCTTTCCGTGGGCCAATCCCCGCGCTACCGGCGCTGATGCGCCCGCATGTCTCGCCAAGGATGTTTGCGCGCGGGTGGCGGGCGGCGCGTGGGAGGCCCCACGGATGCCATGGGGTAAGGTTGGAAGCGCGTTGCTGGGCAGCTCGGCCGCCGCGACCATCGACGGTAGTCGTCGGATCATGGGCTCACAGCACTCACCTCACGGCCCCTCTGCCGCTGTTGGACCGCGACCATGGGCTCGCGGCGTGCAATGTCTCCACGCAGGACCGCGCGCACATCGAGCCGCCCGCAGAGCAGGCTGCTTCACCTCGTACGTCAGACATGGCGTGGCACATCGGCAAAATTGCCGAGTCTCTTCAGCGCACTTGCTGCCGCGTCTTTCACGCGCTCACCGCATGGCATGACTACGAGGTCAAGGCGTCCTCATGGGTCACAGCCCGTGGAGGTTTCGGCGGCGATAATTGTGGCCCTATGCCGGTGGCAACACTCGCAGAGGATAACGTCACTTTGACGAATGTGTGCAAGTTGTTCCCTGGATATCCGCCATGGCAGCCCTGGGTGCCGAATGAATGCCACCCAGCAGACATTCCTGTCGGCGGGGCTGCCGGCGGCTTTCAGCGCGACCCTCTTGACCCAGATGCTACCGCCGCTCGCTGGTCAGCGTTCGCAGATGGTCGGTACTTTCTGGGCATGATGAGTGATCACGGATGGGCCCCACTGATCAAGGGAGATTACGGCCTTACCGTCATTCGCGCACTTGGTTCCGACGGTCACGCATTCAAATTGGTCAACTTGTACAGTGACTCGTTGCCTCGCGGTATCGACAAGTTGAGGGAAAACGAAGCCAAAAACACGTCGCGCTGGCATCGACGAGGTGAATGCTGCCAACCTGCGCCTGCAGATTGCCGGCGCATCCAACCTGGCGCCGGCGTCGATCGTCTGCCCTTGGATGAGCAACTTCCAGTACCGAGCGGGTGCTACACTGGAGGACTTCAGCACGTGGATGCGAGACGACATCCTCTTTTGGGCTATGTCGCGTGACAACTGCAAGCGTTATTGGCTTGAAAACGACGCGCCAACCGGATGCGACCTGCCACTGTTGCCCGAGGCCGGCGGCAACGCCCGCCTGGAACCAGCGGCTGCGCGCGAGGCATACCGCTCCAAGTTACGTCGAAGTCGCGACAGGATCATGGCATCCACAGACCCAGCGAAGAGGAGCATCAGAGGATTATTGGTTATCGGCCATGCTCGTGCGCTCTACATGACTGGTAAAAAGGACGAGTACCGCGACTTCAACGAGGTCATGTGGGCGTATTGGGCAGATCGCTTCCCTGCATGCGTCAAACAGCGCCATTCTCAGCGCGGTCTCATTGCGTTCCGCAGGTGGAGCGGTGACGACGTTACTACAGACGGGAACTGGATGAAACTCGATCCGCATCGAGCCCGTTCGACCCCCCCAGACGACTATGAACGTAGATGGCGACCTCCACCAGCCAGGCAGGGTGGCCCAACGATTCCCGAGCACGTCATAGTGGACATATCACGCTGCATTGAGGTCTTGAATTGTTCTGCTGCCCCACTGTCATGGGCCCTGGCAAGGCGCATCAACGCAGACTGCCAGGGAAGTTCGACGAGCTCATAGACGAGATGATCCCGATGTTCACAGGCCGCGGCATTGCTGTATTACCCGTTGGTCAGTGGATCAGACAGCAGGACCGCCCATATACGAATTTGTGGCACCCACAGATGACGGATCACAACCTGGTGCGGTTGACACAGCAGTTCATGCAAGCCGCCACTCTCAGGAACATGAGTGCAGATCCGCTATCTCTGCCGACGCAGCCCTTCCGCTTCCGTCACCCGTTGATGCAGCCTGTCAACGACTACCAAGGCCACGCCCAGGCAATGGAGATGCGAGAAGCACTCCGTGTTCGCCTGGAGCAATCCTCGCAGTTCCAGCGTTCCAAGGGACTTCAAGCTTTGCGCGCACAGACCCTTGAAGAACATGGTCTGGCTGCGCGGATGACCAAGATATTTCAGGCTGCCAGGTCTTCGACTGACGCCCCTCCTGTTCTTCCGCCGGAAGCAACTCCTGCAGCTGGATCATCTTCTGCCGCTCCGACTTATCGAAGCCAGACCCTTGGTCTGGCTTCTGCGCAAGCGGATGCGACAACAAACGAAGATGCTCTTCCTGCATATACACAGACCATCCTTACGGCATACGGCAAATATTGGAATTGCAAGGTTTTTCATTCTGAGACAGAAGAACAAAACTACATGTCGTACCAGGTCATCTGTCTGCGTCCCAGGGGTCTGCTTTATACTTTCCCTGACATCTGGGATTATTATTCCTCTCCTGAGCGTGATTTGATCAAACCACGTACAACATGACATACCTGGTGCGCCATGCCGCTACGTGGTTGGATTTGAAGCTGTTCGTCAAGAAGATCATGCATATCGCCCCGATTCGTGCCAGCGAAGAATCAGGCGCCCTCGAACTTGAACGCGATGTCAACGCGAACTACATCGGGGAGCTCACCAACTGCTTTCGCAGTCAGGCAGAGTCTCAGACGGAGATGCCGCCCGACCCTCCATCCGTCGCGCCCGATGCCTCTCGCGGTGGCTATGTACCTGTGCCGCCGCCCCCACCAGCGCATCCTCCCCCGCAGGAGAAAGGCGCTATGACGGGTACGACCGCCATGCAGCCGCCGCCTGCACCGGCGTGCGAGGTCCCTCTGCCACCCGCGCCTGCTGCGCCGGCGGCATCAGCAGACTAACCTACTCCACCACCGGCACCGCCGTCCTCTTCAGCACTGGACACTGGCGAGGCGGCGGCAACTCCCGCAGACGCAGGGGCGCTTGCGGAACCTGTGAAGTACAGAATCATGGGTGCACGCGACGGTTGCGCACGATCGCAACACGAGACCGTGATGACGCTGAAGGATGAGACAATGTTTGGCGTTACTCCCAGAGAATGTGCCATGCGTACCAAAGTGTCTGATCCACTCCCTTGGGCCCCTCCGCCTTGCGTGGGCGCGGTCAATATCAGTCGCGCGCGGATGGCGAAGAATATGGGAAGAGCTTGTGCAACGACGACTACGTGATCAAGCGCGCTCCCGACCTACAGAACAGTGGCTGTTTCCCAGACTACTTGGGTTACCCTGTGTAACGTGACAACTAAACAGCTGGGACTACGTCTCCCTGTTGGCCCACGCTACCACGGTCATACTATTGGGACGCCACGGTGCTTCAGCAGGGCCCTTTGGGCCGCGCTCCGCCATGACAGCGGCGGCCGCAACGGCTTGAACCATTGTCTGGACCGCCGTGTCAATATGGCAACGCGAGGACGTTGATGCATGGGCTGCGCCCTATCGCTCCAAAGCTTCCAGCCGCATCGTGTCGGAGGTGTTCGTTCGCACCGATCACGGGCCCAACAGGGCCGCTGTCCACGCCCGCGTGCTTCAGGCAAACGAGAGTGGCCAACAATGGCAGAGTCCAGGAAGACTACGTGATTGCTGTTCTTCGCGCCCTACAGCTGCACATTGATGACGAGAAGGCCCGCTTCCAGGTCTTCGTCCGCCGCCCTGGCCCCGACGCTTTCGGCGCAGACTTCGCGCGGTATCAGGCGCTGGCCATTCGTGCCATTGGCGGGCACACCGCTGTGCACATTAACAGCCAACCGTGGGGCATGGGCTGGAAGCGTCTTTCACATGGACAGATGTGAAGTCCCTACACCGCGCCGCTACCCGTGACGCCTGGCACAGCATCCGCGAGATCGGCATCGTTCCGTGCGATGGTGCCGACCGCCAGACACGGCGCGAGGCATTCTACAGTTCGAGTTCTTGCGTTCTTCATGACGGAGTGAATCCTCATTCTGTGATCCCTGGGTACAAGTTCGAGCACAAGAAGAAGCAGGTCGACGTGGTCATCGACATGAATTCAGCCACCATCGCTGGCAGTGCGTTCTGGCTCGGTGAACAAGGGGCCATCATGTGCCCGCAGACTATTCCTCCAATGGCCATCCTGGCCAACAGAATGGTCGGGGGCGGCCATCTGCACCCGGACATGGTTGCACATTGGAAGTACTCAGGTTTGGCCAAACTGCCGGCGCCACGCAGCCAGTACGAGGTCTGCGAGACTGCGCCGGCGGTGACACCTGCAGCAGAACAGCTGCGGACGTGCATCCCGACGCCACGCCCCAAGCCTATGCCCACTGGGACGCGTTCCTCTTCTTCCTCTGCTGCGGCGAATATCCCCAAAACATCAGGCCCGCAACCAGCCAGGGCCAAAGCAGGACGAGCCCCAACTGGACCGACTCCTATTCGAAGGGGAGCTGGTGGCAACACCTGCACCGACTCCGACCGACGCGGCCGTCTTGAACATGGCCCCATGGTGGACGATCGTGGACGGTTGCAAGAAGGAATAATGTGAACTACTCGTGAAGACACTGCCTCCTGGCACCTAAGATCGTTGCAGTCGCTTTCGAGACATTCGCGCACGTGACTTTATATGTGCACGACTGCATGGCTCTGCCCGTTGCCGCGCCGTTGATCGCTTGTGGCCAGCAAAGAAAGATGTCGCACTCACGCTGGGAGAAGGGAAGATCTTCGGACCCATCATGGACATTATTCATCATGGAACATACGTCAGCGTGCAGATCCCATGCAGGGGTCATGGCCCATTCTGGGCCAACGTTTGGCACTCCCTGCAGAATGACGGCCAGAACGGCTTCCCATTCGCAGTCCGACTGCATACTGAGCTGCCCGAATGGTGCATTGACCACTTCAACGAATACGATGTTGATGCACACCTTGGGCTCATCGATGACGATCTTGCTATCGACACGTCGGCGGCGAAGCCCGCACTCCAGACGAACGACAATCGGGACATCAAGACCGATGGGGCGAAGCTGATTACGACGATCGAAATCATCGAGGACTCGCCGTCCATCTTTGCAAGGTTTCCGCAGGAGGGGATGATGAACCTCCGTGCGAATGGCAGGGCTACAGCAGGGGTCCCGATGTTGATCACCCCACGGTGCGAGGTGGATCGGATGTGTACGGTAACATGCAGGGATACATACCACTACGACAGTCATCTCGAGATTCGGTTCCGTTTCGACCCCAAGGTGGGTTGGTGCAAGGCGGCTTTGAACTATTTCAGCCCACGGGCCAAACAACTACCGTACATTTGTAGCCACAACCGTTTGCTGTCTACGATGATGACGGAGATGATTGGAGCGATGCTGAAGATGTCGTACTTCTTTTTTGGATTCCACATGTTTTCGCCATCATTCCCGAGCGATGCTACACTTCTTTTGGTGGACACTCCTGCGTCGGACATCCTCAAGCATCACCCAGCCTTGGCGTTCCTCCTCAACTTCTGGGAGACGACGGTCAGGGCACGGCCTCGGCACGCCATGCTCGCGAGCAGATCGTGGCTGGGGATCTCTGATCCGATGACCGATAAGGGATTGGCCACCGATCTGCCCGCCGATCGCGCTCGCTTCGTTCCGAATCATGCTGTTCGTGAAATCGGCCGAAGTTTGAGTGCTCGCGGCAGCGCTTGCAATCGCACTCAGGATCTCTTTTTTTTTCCCCCCCCAACCATCCTGTGGTGTTGGGTCCTCGTTTTGAAGAGACGGTGCCCCGCGTTCCTCCTCCTTCCTCCCGCTGCCCTCTCCCCCTCCTCCCTCCCCTTTGCCTCTGCCCTCCGCATGTCTCTGTTTCGGCACATCCCTCACGCGTTCCGTGGCCCCATAGGGAGCTCCACCGAAGGCCCCAGTGGCAGGGTCCGCATGGCGGCCCCGCATTTTTGCGCACCCCTCACACGGTTCGTGGCCCCATAGGGAGCTCCACCGAAGGCCCCAGTGGCAGGGTCCGCGTGGCGGCCCCGCATTTTGGCGCACCCCTCACACGGTTCGTGGTCCCATAGGGAGCTCCACCGACGGCCCCAGTAGCAGGGTCCGCGTGGCGGCCCCGCATTGGGGCGCACCCCTCACACGGTTCGTGGCCCCATAGAGAGGTACACCGAAGTCCGCATGGCGGCCCCGCATTTTGGCCCGCCCCTCACACGGTTCGTGGCCCCATAGGGAGCCCCACCGAAGGCCCCAGTGGCAGGGTCCGCATGGCGGCCCCGCATTTTTGCGCACCCCTCACACGGTTCGTGGCCCCATAGGGAGCTCCACCGAAGGCCCCAGTGGCAGGCGCACCGCATGGCTCCACCGGCCCCAGTGGCATTTTTGGCGCACCCCTCACACGGTTCGTGGCCCCATAGGGAGCTCCACCGAAGGCCCCAGTGGCAGGGTCCGCATGGCGGCCCCGCATTTTGGCGCACCCCTCACACGGTTCGTGGCCCCATAGGGAGCTCCACCGAAGGCCCCAGTGGCAGGGTCCGCATGGCGGCCCCGCCCCATTTTGGCGCACCCCTCACACGGTTCGTGGCCCCATAGGGAGCTCCACCGAAGGCCCCAGTGGCAGGGTCCGCATGGCGGCCCCGCCCCATTTTGGCGCACCCCTCACACGGTTCGTGGCCCCATAGGGAGCTCCACCGAAGATGATGCCCACACTTGCGGTGTTAACAATTGCTTATGGTTGGGTCTTTCGCCAGGGTATTTTTTTCTTGAAGAACGGAGCGGCCGACTTTCAGACCGCAGAGCGCCATTGCGCGAGCTGCTGCCGCGACCTCCCCAATGACGACACATGCGAGGATGACCTGTGCCACGCGCGCACTGAGCCATGAAGACGCGGGGGGCAGGTGTGTTACATGTTCAGTTCCTGACAGATGTGCGCAACTGGATCCACGAAAAGTGGGCGTGAAAATCGCGCTCCAGCTCGTGCGCGTGGACGTCCAGATCCGCGTCCAGGGACAGCTTTCTGAAGCTGCCGCCGGAAAGGACGACCTACGCAGACTGGCTCGCCAAGCCGAGATCGGACGCGCCAAATGGTTGGCGGCCGGTAGTCCGACCCCTGGCCAGCGTCGCGTCGGCGAAGAAGAAGAAGACGCCGACGCAGGGGGCGCTGTCCTCTATCATCCGCACCCCGATCTCGCCACTCGGTTTCAGTAAGATGGGATCTTCCACCGCCAGATGACCGAGGCCAGAGTTCTGAAGCAACAGTGCTCGTTCACGTTGGAGGACGTGCATGAGGGCATGCGACTGCGCCGTGTCAGCGCGCAGTTAGGCCACGCGGGCCGGCGGGCACTGGCTCCCGGAACGATGCCTCGCGGCGAACGCTTTGGCCGTGGTTCATTGACCTTTTCAGCCCCGTTGGAAGAGGACAAAGTCAAATGATCCGGGTCGCCTTGGGTGAGCTCCGCCAGCAGGTGCCCACAGGCGCCGCGAATGGGTTCATCAGGGCGACTTCGCAGTTGCCCCTGATGCACCCATTCGCCTCGCCCGAGCCCCTCCAACCCCGCGCCGCGATGGCCCCATTGCCGCCCATGCCCCTGGTGGCGCTGGCTGGGCTGACGCCGCGGGCTGCGCCGGCGACGCTGCCCCTTCATCGACATTGCGCCGCCCCATCGCGCCACCAAGGCGGGAGCGCGACATCCTTGCTGAGCGTGACCGCGGCAGGAGTGTGTGCGAGCGCCGCGGCGTCCATGCGTGGTGGCGCTGTGACCTCCAGCATTATCAACACGATACGTATCGTTACTGGTCGTACTTCCTGTCCCAGTGGATATATTTCAACAGCGACGATTCCGAATGCATATGGTCATGGGACAACTGTATGACCATTACTATCAGCCGGGTCAATGACTATGAAAATCGCGTTTTGGATGAGCGTTACTACGAAATATATCAGACGCGGGTTTTGATGGACGTATGTTCATTTGTGATGTTGATGCACATCTTATCACCAGCGACTTAGAAAGTGATTCGATATCATTACGCTTATCATTCATCTGTATATTGAGACACATTGACAGTTCTGTTATGTGATTTTGGCATTTGACACCACACTGTACATCGATATTGCTTTCATTTCGCCTGATACAATCTGACAATCGGGCATGCACGCGCCCAGTCAGGTCGCCCGCCAGAAATATTATACAGAACAGCAGCAGCTATTCGTATCATGGGGCTGCGTCTGTGCACGACCGACGCACAGCATTTTTCCCACGATCATACTTCGCATGTGCGTTTCAAAGTACCTTTGGGGCCTGGAGTGCCTCACACTATACATGATATATTGTCAGATGTGAGTTGTCATCGCAATTCGCCGAATATTTTTTTACGTCGAGCTGGGAGTGCCCCGTGGGTGAGAGCTATCTTTTACGTTCATCGACTTGTCGTCACAACTTCGATCCACTTCGTCTTACGCGTGCGCCGCGTCGGTGGCAACGCCTGCATCGAGGGATGCGGGCACCGCCTTTCTGCTGTCCATTGTTTGCTTGCCCATCCCTGTCACCTGTGGTGACGGAGTGTCGTCCAGGAGTGCCGATTCGTTTTGGAGGGCGCACCCTGGGCCCGCAAAGTCGGGTAGACACTCCCAAGTCTTGGCATCGCTGGGACGTGTGCATGTTTCCTTCGGCGAGGACCATCGAAGAGCATCCTTGATAATTTGGCGAAAGAGCCACGCACGAAACCAACAACAACACAGGAAATGGACGTCCGAGCGATGGCCAGAAGTACCCCGTGTGACGAGTTTGGTCCTTTCTCTCACCTTTCCTAGCCGATGCACCCTCGTTTGGAAGGGCGGTGGATAGAACGGGGTTGCGAGTGGACCTCGCACCTCTGTTCCCGACTCCTGCCGTCGTCTCCCGTGGGCCCGAGGCCATCGGGATCTGGCAGGTTTCGGGGCGGCGTGTGCGTGAAGTCCGTTCACTTTCCAATTCTATCCTTTCTTCCGCCATTGGATTGGTTCAGGCATTGGCAACGCAACAACAGCGCACTGCTCACTGTGCTGTGCCTTGGAAAAGGAGTCCTACTCCTCGCCTCGACCAACGGATCCCGCATAGGAGCGGCCCTTGGGCCGTCTCCCTATACGCGCACTTTCTCTTCCCAGTTTCTCTTCTCCCTCGTCCTTCGTTGTCCCGGTCTTCGTTTCCACTCCGACGTGTCCGCCTCCATTCCGACATGCGCGTGGCGGGGGGGGGGGGACCACGCGGAACAATCAAACGATGACCCTCAGCATAAGATGAGCCGTAGGGAAGGGCTCGGGGGGCCGGGGGGGGGCGACGAAGGGGGGGGGCGACGATTAATGTCAGATTGTCGGAGTCGGAGATTTGCGGTCGACGCGAACGTTGGCGTTGTTATTGCCGCCGTCGCCGCCATCGTCGTTGTCATCATCGTGCTCGTCGCTGGCAGGAGAAAAAAGTGAGGGACGATCGAACTCCTCAGCATTTGCGCCTGTGTCACTTGCGATGCTGGACGCTACCGCTTGCCCTGCCCATCTCTCGGTGCTTTTCCGCCCCCTTGCTCAACACCGTCATCGTTGTGTTCCCGCCCAGACTGGACGTCTAAGTGACTTCTGGAGGGGATTCACGCGCAGGTTGCTGTCTCTCTTGCGCAGACGAGCCAACACAGCACGCGGCCCCAGCTCGGGAGCGTACGCACATTGTCATTCAGGAGTCCGCCAGCTCTACCCCACCATTCGACGATGTGGATAACGAGCGGAATAGTAAAAAGGGCCTTGCCTTCGAGGGCCGAAGGAGTTGGCATCTCTTTTCCTCGGCGGAAGACGGATGAAGAGTGGCGGAAGCCCGCGGAGTTATATCGAGAGTGGTTCCGCTGGCGGGCGCCGGCGGAATGGCGGCCGAACGCGATGGAAGTAAAAACCGCGCAACGTTTTCGGTTCAAGGTTTCTGGAACCCGCCATACGACGGTTTGATCTGGGAGGGTCCTCGTGCGCAAGACGATGCAAAACGACATGTGATGTTTCACTACGCTTGATTGTGAGGATGCTTCTCGACTTTGGCCCCGTGGGCAAGTGACTCTCCCCCTGAGGTTGGACCCAGACGTGGTCTATGATATCCTGATCGCGTCGAAGAGTGTTGCGGAGATGCGTGCGGGCGCTCAGCTGTCACCTTGTTGTTTTGTTGGGTGCAGCGACGGTGGAGGAGGATAAGAGGGAGAAGGGATAGGGATTGATTGATGTGTTGGTGCCTTAGTGGCCCCCTTATTGAACGCCGCTGTGGCCGAGCCAAGGCATGTCCCGACACGTTTGGGGTCACCCAATTGCGATGTATTGGGTGCTGCTCCCAATCGTGCCGTTGCCGATTTTGCCAAGGCCATGGTCTGTACTAAGGCTAACCGTAGGGAGAAGTCGTTGCAGCTCATCATCCACATACCAAACCATCGCACGTATCCGAACGCGCTCGCGCGAACACGTCTTTTCTCCTGATTTCCGCCGCCACTCCCCTTACCAGCGCGCGGGCGCGACCCACTACCAAGACAGTTACCTCGAATGTCTCTCTGGAGGTCCCCGGATGACTCTGGAGGCCTTGACAAGGGCCAGAAACGTGCAATTCCTAGATGCCCGAAGTTTGCAGATCGAGGACTGTCTCGAGGCTCGAGGGCTCCAGCTTCTAATCGCCCTGGCCTCCTCCTTGCGGCCGGCCGCCTTGGGGCCAGGCATAGCTCCTTCAGGGATGGGCAGAATCAGAAACGAGCAGTCTTAGCAGACGACGGGGTGCCATGTATCCTACACGGGCCGCAGCAATGGTATTCCAGGTAGTGAAGTCGTGGTGACTGCAAAGGTTCGGGGTGGGTGGGGAGGAGGAGGAGGAGGAGGAGGAGGAGGAGGAGGAGGAGGAGGAAGAAGAGGAAACACTAAAATTCAAACGTGTATCGGCACACGTTCGTGCCGGGTTGAGGGTCGAAGGCGTCAATGATTGTTTTACGTGAGCTCATTACCATCTCATTGCATGCATGCCGTCACATGCAGACTTACGGCTGAGGAGCGCTCAAGCGGCACCCCGAGACGTCCCTTGCACCAAGCATTGACCCACGCAATTGCCCCATTTAACCATCCGGGGTGCTCAAGGTTTCTCATGAGGCCCGTAAGGGGGTCACAGCCTTGTGGGGTCGTGTGCATATCATGGCCAGGGCCAGGAGATCTCCCGGGTTTTATGGCTCCCTCTTCTTCTTTCAGTGCGTTCTTTAGCCCCCCTGTCTTCATCGCCATGTTACGCTCATCAATTCTTTGCGGCCGCCCTCTTCGGCGTTCTCGGTGCGCTGCACCAAGGCCAGGATGAGCTCCGGGGGCTCTCCACATCATTTGAGGCCTCTTGCCAGAGCCAGAGGGCGAGGGTCAGAGGGTAGTTCCTGCGATGGCAGCCTCCGTGTCAATTCATGCGTCCTGGATCGTGAAGCAACAGGGGGGAGCGCGTGTGTGGCCTCCGCTGGTGGGTGCGCGGGCAATCGTGGAGCGCGATGGCCAGGGGCACTCCCAGTGATCTTCCGAAGGGCCTGCTGAGTCGACTCGGAGGGGCCAACGCGCACGGCGCTGCGGAGAGATCGGACATGCCCAGCGGGGTGTTGATAGGCCCAGGTGCGTGTGCGTGTGTGTGTGTGTGTGTGTGTCTGTGTGTGTGTGTCAGGGGCAGGCATGGTAGCAGGAGGTCGCAGTGGAGGGTGGGCAGTGCGGGAAAGGCAAACGAGTTAGGAGAAGTCCCCTCGGTCAAGCGAATCCACCCGGCAATAGCATCATGTTCCATGGTCGTGCCGGGTCTAAGGCGAGGAGGCCAAGAACATCATTGCCGACAACCAGGTGCGGCGGTTCGGGCGGCTCCAGGAGGTCTCTTATGCGAATGGCTATGCTCTCACAGTTGCCAGGGCGGTGGAATAAAGCACGAGTCGAATCCAGACCTTCAACGTGTTGGACTTCCACCCTTTGCGGCGGAAGATCTCGAACCATCTTTGAGCACACCACAGAACACAACAGTGAGTACGCATCGTGATGCTATATTTTGCGCTGCTGCGCTCGACAACAGTCTAGCCCCTTCGCGTAACCCCACCAGCTCGCAGAGATCTGATTGCACTTCGAGGTCTGCTGCTCACGCGGTGCGGTTCGCAGTTTAGTGGTTGACGATTGCTGCGCTGTATTCCCGCATTGGCATACGCTTTGTCGGAGACATGGTGTGTCTCTTCCAGGAGGTCGAGGTCAGAGGGGTACTCTGGCTCGTGGCCTTTGGCTTTTTAGCTGAGTTGCGTCTGGCCATTTCCGCTGTTCGTTCGCCGCCCGCGCTCGGCCTCGGTCCTGCCCGGCTTGCTGCCCGCCTCTTTCCTTCCATTTTTCCGCGCTCGCCTGCGGTAGTGTGGGCCTCTGTCTTGCTCGCTGTAGGGTTGGTTTTCGTGCGACTCAACGACGCCGCGCGGCTGTCCGCTTGCGGTTGCGAACAACAAAGGTAGCCCCACCAGCCCATCCAAAAAAGGATACCCAGGCGAGATGTGCTGATTAGGGATGTGGGGCCTCTTGGGGGCGCTTGGGCGCGTCGTGGGATTATTCCTGGGCCGCCCGGGCGCCTCTTAGGGCCATCTTGGGACCCCCCTGGGGCTCTCCTGCGGGCCTTGGAGGTCTCCTTGGGGGCATCTAGGAGGATACCGATCAAGGAGGGTGGGTCCTCAATTAGCACCGCCCTCTGGAAAACCCAAAGTCGCCCCGTGGGGCCCTCTCGGGTCGCTCTTCGGCGTTGTTGGGGCCGTCTTGGGACCATCGTGTGTGTCTCTTGGGGCCCTCTTGGGCCAATTTGGCGCCATCTTGAGACCTCGGGATCCCATCGGGAGCGAAAGGGCGAGAGGGCCAAAGTCACTGATGTTCCTAAGGTGTTGGACGGATTTGGGCACCTCGGGGGCCTCGGGAGTCCCCGTGGCCGCTTGAAGCCATCTCGGGGCCATCATGGGGCCTCATGGAGGTATCTTGGAAACCATCGTGGGCCAGCTTGGGCCACATTGCGGCATCTTCGAGGCCATATTGAAAAATGTTGGGTTGCTTTGGATTTTTTTTGGCCAGACACATTCGAAGGACCTCCCTGTAACACCTACATTGTTCCAAGCCCTTCAGTTCTTCCATGTTTTGGCCGATCAAAGAGGGGGGGACTTAGTTGGGCCCCCCCTTCTGGAGCCCCCCAAAAACCTCTTGGGGACCTCAGGTGCGCTCCTATGGCGTTCGTGGGCGCTCCTGGGGCCATATCGGGCCCTCCTGGAGCCATATTGATTCCTCGGAAAATTCTTGGAAAACGAAGGGCGATGGGGCTGACATCGTTGTGATTTGACGGGTTTGGGCTGTTGGGAGCGTCCTGGCCAATTTGGACCCGTTTGGGAGTATTTTTGGGACCTCTCGCAACATATTGGAGACCACCTTGAGCCATTTTGCGCTATCTCGAACCATATGGAGGCAATTTTGGACTTTCCGGAACCCTCTTGGAGCCATCTTGGGCCATCTTGGCCGCTCCAACGACCCGCGGGGCACCCCGTCCAGGGCCAGGGGGAGGGGGGAGGGGGAAGGGCAAACCCCTTCCCGAAGGGGAAGAAGGGGGTTGGAAAAGGACACGCCTTAAATCACTCACGCCGTAAAAGGGCTGGTGTGATGATTTTAGGTTTCGCTGTGCTGTTCAGCTGCCGACGACACGTCCCTCCACCGTGCCAGCCCAGCATACCCAGTGGCGGCGACTCGCGAGGGGATGCAGGAGGCCGTGGTGTGTGACACCTCGAATCCCCAGGCTTTGGGAGAGCCGGGACATGTGACACGCTCTTCCGTGTCGTGTCGGGAGTTGTGTTCTCGTTGTCTTCGTCTCCTTCCTTTTCTTCGGCCGTCTTTGGGCGCTCTAGGGCCGTCTTGGGCCCTCTTGGCCGTCGTCGGTATCTCTTGCTGCCGTCGTGGTCTGATATTTGGCTAGCTTGCTCCGTCGAGGGACTCTAAGGCCGTCTTGGATCCCTCTGGGAGCCCTGTTGGGCCAGCTTGCGGCTCTCTTGGGGCCGTCTTGTGTTGTCTATTTTGGGATGTCTTGAGGCCGTTTCGAAGGATTTGTTGGTTTTGGGGGGGGCGATTTGGGTCGTCGTCGGGAGACTACGGCCAGGCACCGACCAGACCACGGGCAAAAGACTACGGGCTACAACCAGAGACCAAAGGGCCACGGGCTTTACATCGCGGGGGCCCTCCATACAGGAAGCCACGGCTAGACACAACGACCAGAGACCACGGGCCAAGACCAGAGACCACGAGCCACGAGCAGAGACCACCGGCCGCGGATTTTGGATCGCGGAGACCCCTAATCCGCTCATTCTACATATGTGGTGACCCTTACATACATGCTGTGCAAGGAACCAGCGGTCTTTGCTCGGCATGTTTCTTCTCCAGTGGTCCAGGGGCAGTTTCGGGCCCCGAGACAATCAAACATCTCTCCAGCAAATATGTTTGCCTTTGGGTCCGGCTGGAGGTATACTGGGCCAGCATAGCGATCAAAGCCAAGACATCAGGAGTTTTGAAGGGGAGTGGGAAATCCGCGTTACGATCGAAAGAGATCCCGTCGGACATGGCTGGCCCCTGGGATTGGCCAGGATCTGACGGGGTCGGCTGCACGCCGGGGGGAGGTTAGCCGGAAGGCAGTCCGCCGATGGCATTCGGCCCGCCACACTGTGCACGTATCAATGGAGGAGCCAACTCCGAGCGGGGCAGACGCGTTCGAGGCCAGAACTCCCCCCCTCATCTTTCGGCCTCGAGCATTCGCCCCCGCCCGCGCATGAGCGGCATCAAGACACGAGGTCGACCCGCGAGCGTGGAGTCGCAAGGCTTCTGCGCGGGGTCGCGCACAAGCGCCCTTTTTTTCCGGTGGGGTGCCGCGTCAGCGACTTGCCTGAGCCGTCGTGTAGATTCGCCACGTCTTTCTGCGCAAGGCTCTTCACCACGCCCGTCGGTTGGAGACGAGTATCAGAGCCAGACATTTTGCGTTCCTATCTGTTCTATGCATGGGCCCCTGGACCTGTCGACCCCTTTCCCAGCGCGGGCTTGTCATCCCTAGTTGTTTTTTACCGTCTGAGGTTCGAAGTTGATTTCCAGACGGGAAACATGGCGACAAACCAACCGCCCTGTTTTTTTTTCAGGGCGCCAGATGTCTGGAAGGCAGGGGCAGGACGAGAGACGCGCAGACGGGCATTCTGCACGAAGAAGAGAGTTGGCACTTGGCGTGCAAAGGCTCCGCGACGGTGCGGCGATGTCAGCCCGCTCTGGTGGGGCGCGAATTAGTAGGCGCTGCGTCGTGTATACATGTCTTGTTGCGCTGACGGAGTCCCAGGCTTCAGGTGCTTGTTTTTTGTTGGTGTTAGATCCCAGGGTTCTCCCCAAATTTCGGTCTCGGCTGTCGTTTCCAAGTCACGGGGCTATATCTACACAGATCTCTCTATGTGTATATACAAAAAAGTATATAGACACATGTATACAGACATGCTTGTGTATACATATATATATATATATACATACAGATGTGTATTCATATATATATATATATATATACATCGATCCCGGGGGACAGGGACACGGGGGCCTGGCCCAGCAGCCTTGGTCCTCCATGGGGGTGCCGGGCCGCCCAAACAGGCCCGCATGTTTTTTTGTTGGCCTGGGAAGCGGCCAAGACGTCGACCAAAGAACGCTTTTAGATGCTCAAGACGGCCCCAAGATAGCCCAAGAGGCCTTCAAGACGGCCCAAGAGGCCTCGAAGAAGCGTCCCAAGAAGGCTCCAAGAGGCCAAAACCTTTGATTTTCCAAAGGAAACCGTACATTTTTGCATACATGACTTTCCGGCCTTCACGGCGTTGAAGACGGTCCAAGGGGCCCCCGAAACCGCCCAGAGAAGACCCAAGAAGCTCCCAAGAGGCGCCCAAGACGGCCCAAGAGGGGGCGAAGACGGCCCAGGCGGTTCCCACGAGAGCCCAAGAGTTCCCCAGGTCCGCCCCAAGAGGAGCCCAAGAGGGGGAGCCCGACCCAAGAAGGCCCCAGGAGGCTCCCAAGAGGCCCCAAGAGGCCCCCAAGATGGCCCCAAGAGGCTTCCAAGAGGGCCCCAAGAGGCCCCCAAGAGGCCCAAAAGAAGCCCCAGAGGGTCCAACACAGCGTCCCCCAAGAAGCCCGCGAGAGGAGGAGGAGGAAGAGGACGTTTCTTCCCCTCATCATCCTCCGTATTCTCCTCATCCCTCCTTCTCCTGATCCTTCCTCCTCCTCCTCGTCCCCCTCCTCCTCGTCCTGCTCCTGCTCCAACCTGTTCCATCATTCTCCCCTTCATCCTCCTCATCCTCCTCATCCTCCTCATCCTCCTATTCTCCTCCCTCCCCTTCTTGATCTTCCTCTCACCCTCCTCTTGCCTCATCCTCCCTCCTCCTCATCCTCCGTCCCCCCCCCTCTTCCTCCTCCTCCCTCCTCCCTCCTCCTCCTGCTCTTGGTAGACTGACATTCGCTGTGCGGGGGTCCACGTTGATCTTTGTTGGGGTGGGGGAGCAGGATTTGTACCCCCCCCCCCGGGGCGCAACAAGCTAGAACCAGAGCGCGCTCATCGGCCACGCTGCCGGGACAGACGCGTGCCTCGAAAATTGACCCCCCAACGGTGGGGGATTGGACACATTGGGTTAGCGCAAGCCTGGAGCCCTCTTGGGGCTTGTGCGGTGTTCAACCGACGGCGATAAAGACATGGGGCCTCTCCAAATGGCTCGGGGTGATAGGCAGGCACAGGCATGCGTTCTCTTCCTCCTCCTCCTCCTCCTCCTCCTCCTGCTGCACTCTTC